GACTTTGTTCTCAATAGCAAAGAGCTGAAAACAACCCAAGTGCCATCAACAAATGAATGGCTAGAGAAGCTCTGGTATATTCACACAATGGAATATTATGCAGCATTGAAAAACAAGGAACTCATGAAATATTATGCAAAATGGATGACCCTGGAGGACATTATACTGAGTGAAATAACTCAGTCACAAAATGACAAATATTGCATAGGGCAACTGTTGTAAAATGGGACAGACATCGGGGTTGAGGGAAGACAGAGAAGGAGGGGAGGAATGATGATTACTGCATTGAAAAAGATGAGGGAGAGAACTGTTTAAAAGGAATATATGATTGGGTATTATTGTCATGACAGGAATCCAGAATGAAGGCTGAACAGTAGAGTGGACTTGGAGGGAGGGATTGCATAACAATGAAAGAGTTTTACTTTTTAAGGAAAAGAGTGAATTGGAGGGGAGCAGGTGTGCAGGGAGAAAAGTGCAGCAATGAATGATTGGAAACCCTAAGTCTCTGTAAACTTTCATTAACATTAATAATAAATAAAGGGGGAAAATATCAAAGATGTATTAGAGTTATTTTGATTTAATATAATCTGGGGTGCATATGAAGATAGTGATTTTTTGCATAAAATGCTAACATAGTTGGAATTTAAAATGTGAATATCAAAATGAAAGATGAGTAATCTTAAAATTATTTTATTTCCCCCCACTGTGTACTTTACTAGTTATCTGAGCAAGTTCAAATTTTAATATAGTCATTTGAGAATTAAAACAAAAATCACCACAAATAGCAGCAGAGTTATGTCCAAGATAGTGCTGGAAGATGAGCTTTACAAGGTGGAAGACATCTGAACAAGACTGTGGAAGAGACCCCTCCTCTAAGTAGAGCCCACCTTAATGACGTGGAAGCTGTGAAACTTTCAGACAATGAAGAACCTTCATTTGCTGATGTGTACACCTCAAAACAAGGAGAAACAACTGCAAGCATCTTTAATAAGTGTAACATGAAATGTATTAATTTAGGAAACTTAGCAGTTTCTAAAAATTCATGTCATTAATAGGTGAACTGGACTTGTATTGGCCATTTTGAATTAGGCAGTCATATGGTCTAGTAGGCCAGCACTGAAAAATTAGAAAGAGATGGTGCACCATTCATCATCAAAAAGAACATTTCAAGATCTATCCTGAAGTACAATGCTGTGAATGATAGGATACTATCAATATTTGTACCGATAAAACCTGTTAACATGACTGTTAGTGAAATCTATGAACTGACCACTGAAGCAAAAAAGAAATTGAGGATTTCTACCAACTTCTACAGTTGATTAAAAATGCAATCAGTATACATTAATAATAACTTGTGATTGTGGACAACTTGGAAACAAAGAGCACGTAGTTAGAAGGTATGCTGTTGGTGAAATAAATCAGGCCAGAGGTCCAGACAGAATGTTGCGCAAACAAAAACGTATTTGTTGCAAATACAGTGACTATGCAAATGGTAAATGAATAAGGATGACAGAAGAATTATTGATGCTTTGAGTTGTGGTCTTAGACAATAGTACTGAATATCCCCTGATTTGCCAAGAACAGATATACCTTGGAGAAAATGCAGCCAGAGTGCTCCTTGGAGGCAAGGATGGTGAAGCTTCATCTCATATACTTCAGGCATGTTGCTAGGAGAGGCTATTCCTTGAAAAGAGAGCTCATAGTAGGAAAGGTGGTAGGTTAGCAAAAGAGAAGGAACCTTCAGAGAGATTGATTGACTCAGTGACTGCAGCAATTGTCTCAAGTGTGTCAGAGATGATAAGGATGGCACAGGATAGAACAAGGGCCAACTCCGTTGTTCACAAAGTCACTCTTAGTTGTAATCAACTTGATGTCTCCTAACAACAATATGCACATGGACCTCACTGTATGATTTACCTGAGAATCAAATTGACTATATCTGTGGAAAGAGACAGTGGAGAAGCTCAATATAATTAATCCAAAAGACTAGTGATGACTGTGGAACAATTGTTCATAAACAAGTTCAAACTGAAGGTGAAAAAAATTGAAACACGCTGACCAGAGCCAAAATAACAACCTTAAGCTTTCCCTGCATGAACTTAAAAACCATTTCAAAACTAGATTTGATGCACTGTATATTAATGACCCAAGATAAAACAAGTTATGGAATGACATCAAGGATATCAGACATGAAAAAAAAAAGATAATTACAAAGACAGAAAAGAATCAAAGACCATAATGGATGTTGGAAGAGACTCTAAACTTGCTATAGAATGTACAGAAGCTACAGCAAAAGGAAGAAATGATGAAAGAAGATATTTGAACAGATTTCAAAGAGCAGTTCAAGAAGGCAACAACTCAACTCATCTTCATGTTGGCGGACTCCTAGCTGACCCTCCAGTGGGTTTTCAAGAGACTGTAAATCTCATGGGAGGAAATGCTTCTCTTTCTCCCTCAGGGTAAATGGTGAATTCAAACTTTGGGTTAGCAGCACTGCTCCCTACAAATAGACCATCAAACTTCCCAAGTAAAGTGAAATATTATCATGAAATGTGCAAAGACCAGGAGTTAGAAACCAAAAAAAGCAGAACATATTCAGCATTTCTCAAGCTGAAAAATTAAGAGATAAATTCAAACCTCAAATTGTAATACTGAATTCTTTTACAGGCAAAAAACATCCAATGACACAGGAAGCATCAAAAGAAGTATGAAACACAATATAAAGGAAGGATAGTGCAAAACACAATGTATAAGAACTTTGTAAGCAAATCAATATAAAACAAAAATTTAGTTTTCTATTTAACAAAATTATTACAGAGAAAAAGCAAGATGGAAGTGTCACCAAAAAAGATGGAAGACCCAGTGTCACTGTACAAAAATAACTGGTTGACAATGAACCATTTTAGGAAGTAGCATATGATCAAGAACTGAAAGAGTATTCAAGCTACACTAAAAACTTTTACAAACAATAAATCTCCAGAATTGATGAAATGCAAATTGAGGTATTGCAACAAACATATGTAACCTTAGACATGCTCTCTAATCTATGCCAAGAAATTTGAAAGACCTGGCCAATGAACTGGAAGGGATACATATTTTTTCCTATTAAAAAAAAAGGTGATCCAACAGAACATGAATATTATCAAACAATATCACTAATACCACATGATGTCACTAAAATTCGATGACAATTTAAAAATGCTGGAGTATACCTACAGGGAACTGCCAGAAATTCAAGTTGAAATCAGAAGAGGACATGGAAAGAGGTTATCTTTGCCGACATATACTATATATCTTTATTAAAAGCAGGGAATACCAGAAAGATGTTTACTTGAGTTTTAGTGACTATGCAAAGCACTCAATTGTGTAGATCAATTATGGATCCCATTTCATATGGTTTCCGTTGTACTTGGAAGGAACATGAATATAGATCAATAAGCAGCCATGCAAAGAGACAAGAGGATACTGCATGATTTAAAGTCAGAAAATATGTGTGTCCTTTCCCAACACCTATTAAATTTGTATAGTTATATGATCAAATAATCCAAAGAGGAAAAGGTGGCATCAGGATTGGCAGAAGACTCACCAACAACCTGTGATTGTATTTTCAATTGCTTCATATATATGTGAAAGTTGGACAATGAATACAGACCACTACTGAAGAACTGATACTTTGAATTGTGCAGTTGGTGAAGAAAATCCAACATTCATGGGCTACCAAAATGAACAAACCTTGAAAGTAAGCCAGTGTTCCTTAGAGGCAAGAATGGTGGGACTTTGTCTCATATACTTAGGGCACATTGTCATTAGGATTAGTCCCTGGAAAAAGACATCATGCTTGGCAAAATGAAGTGTCAGCAAAGAAGATTCTCAACGAGTTTTAGGAGTGCAGTAGCTAACAGAAAACCTGGTGCTTAGAGACCACCAGCCCTTCCAAAGAAGAAAGATGTGACAATCCGCTTCCACACATGTTGTTTGCTGCGAACTCAGATCAGAACGGATCCATGGCTGACTCTCCAGCGAGTTTTCAGAGACAGAAAATCTCACGGGAGGAGAATGTCCACCCTTCTCCTCCAGAGGGTTTTCAAAGGCGGTAGAGGGCACAGGAGGAGATTGCCCATCCTTCTCTCACGGAGCACCTATAGGAGGACTGAAGCGCAACTTCTTAGCACTAGGCCAGCCACTAGTGCTCCATAAAGATTTCGGGGAAGCTCTGCTCTTTCCTATGGCATTACTAGTAATCAGCATCAAATCCTTCCACCTCCACTTTTTAACTCAAAAGGTAGTTGTGCACTTGCTTTATAACAAAATGTAGCCTTTCTAACAGTGTCTTCAGCTGATTTACAGCTGAAGACGTCCACTGTGGGGTATGACTTATGTCTTTGGAGCCACTTGATGGGGCCGGAGGGAACAATGCACAATTTATATTGGCCACGGCGGTTTCCATTGCCAGCTATGAGAGATCCTGCCGCAATTTATTGTCAGGTGAGTTGTGGTGGACTAGTGGCAAGAAGCTACACTGCAATCCCAGAGATAGCCAGTCCCAATCCACCAGATTGTCTGCTGGTGGAGGAGGGGCAATCTCTTCCCGTATCAGTCAGATCTGATTTGATGGTATACACACACATACAATAATAAAATAAAAATAAATTAAAACTAATTGTCATAACTAATTGTCATAGCTGTATATATAGATATGTTTCTTCTTATGGCCTAACTCATTATAGTAAATGCAGTGCTGTCAGTCAATTCCATTATTAACTGCTTCATCATCAGTTTTCAGGACCCAATATCTTTAGTCTCAGAAAGGGAAATGCTATCAGGTATTACTTCTGATCTGGATTTTCAAAATGTAATTCTCTTACTTCCCCTCCCTGGTTAAGCCTCGCCCCCAGAATGGCCTCTCCCAAGCTCCGCCCCCAGAGAACCCAGCGCCAGAAAACCTGGTGTACGCCCCGCCCATTCTTGGGCCCCAGGCGGGAAGCCAAGTATCAAGCCGCTGATTGGCTGGCTGGAGACGCAGTTTGATGGCGTCGCTCTGGCAAGCGGCTGCCCAGCAGAGGCCTCTGGGCAAAGGTCTACCTGTGTGAGGGGTTTGCAGCCCGTGCATATTGTCTCGGGGAGTAGGGAGCGGAAGCATGAACCCTCCTTGCACGTCTCCATGAGTTTCCTGATCGATTCCAGCATCTTGATTATTTCCCAGGTGAGTGACTGCCTCCCCCTTGGAACCCTGCACCCTCCCTTTCCCAGAACGCTTCCACTCGGGGCCTCAGAGCTGCGGGCTGACTGGGGTGTCTCGCTCTTCTTCCTCGCTTTAGGGCTGCGCCCGCCACAAAAACACCCAGACAACGAGAGATAGGGAGTGGGATTTACTACATCCTGTTTCCTCTGCCCTCCTTGTCGCGCCCGCCCGCACGCTCCGGCGCCTATCTGGGTACCCCCCTCCCCACTACTCTGGGGAGGAGTCAAATAGCGTCAGCCTGGGAGCTGGTTCTGTGAATAGGAAAAGGTCCTCTTCGCGCCCCAAAGATAACAGGTACCTCTGACCCGTGAGTTGTGAGGAGTGTGGTTCCGGGTGCGGAGTGTACGGCACACCAATCGGAGCTGACGTCTGGGGACACGTGTAGTCTTTTCTGATTTGTTGTCAAATCCTGAATCCGGGTGCTGATGTATTAATCTCGCAGTCACATCAGAGATCTTCAAATTAGAGGGTTTCGTTATTGGGCAAGCACTTAATGATTTCTTTTCTGTTCTCCACCCATTTTGGACTTTTCCCTGAAACTTTATTCTTCTTGATTGGCCACTTTCATTCATTTGTGCAGTCAACATTTTATCTAAGATTCTGGATTTCGTCTAATGATGTTCTTACTTTTACTAAGTCATTCACTGAGCTACTGTATAATGTTTTGTAACTAGATAGAACACAGATATATGTGTTTCTGTTTTGAGATTGCTTTGTGCATAGCTACATCTTCATCTCCAAATGCAAGCAACTCAGTGAATTATTGTTGGCTCAACTATTTCTGGAAACTCGGCCTAAAATTACTTAGTTATTGACTCATTTTTTCGAAAATTTAAAGTTGGGTGTTTTTTTTTTCTTAATTGTCATTTTTGCAAACGACAGAAAAAGTCCCGTTTGAGGGATGAAGTGAAATTAAACCTTTGGATATTTTATACAGTTTTGTGTTCATTCATTTTTATAATTTTGTCTGTGGCGTGGAACACTGTCTTGTCTCTTGAGAGACATAACATTTAAGAAACGTTGAAGTAGCGAGCTCTGGTGGTCTACTGGCAAGAAGCTACACTTCAATCCAGAAGTGAGTGGTTCAAATCCACCAGATGCTCTGCTGGAGAAGGAGGGACAATCTCCTCCTGTACCAGTCAGATCCAGTTTGACGGTACACACACACACACACACAAGAAACGTTGAAGCAAAGAAAAGCTGTCCATAATCCTGTCATCCTAATACAGTATAACATTTTCATTCTCAAATTTTACCATATCTTAAGGTATTCTGGTGGACTCATTCTCAAATTTTACCATATCTTAAGGTGCTCTGGTGGAATGGTGTCTTGTGCTACTGACCAAAAGTTAAAATATTTTGTATGGCTTTCATACCTATTATTTTGCTGGATAATGTTCAGATAGATCCATGTAAACAATTTGGCTCTATAGCTGTTGAGTAAAAGCTTTGAAAGGTTTCCCTGTATCAAAGGCTAAAAAGTTATTAAGCATAACTTCTTGTTTTTGTTGTTATTATGTGTTGTCAAGTTATCTGCGACTCATAGCAACTCTATGTACAACAGCTCTGAACCCTGCCAACCTGAGCCAGCCTTACCGTCTCTGACACACCTACCCCATTACTCCAGTCACTGAGTCAATCCATCTCTTCAAGGGTCTTCCTCTCCTGCACTGACCCTCCACCCTTCAAAGCATGATGTCCCCCACCAAGCACTGGTCCCTTCTTGCAACATGTCCAAAGTATGTCAGACGAAGCCTCAGAATTCTTGCTTTCAAGGAGCAGGTTGATTTTAGCCTCTCCAGTATGAACCTGTTTGTTCTCTTAACAGTCCACGGTTTGTTCAGTACTCTTCTCCAACAACACAGCTCTCAGGCGTCAATTCTTCTATCATCCCTAGTCATTTTACAGCTTTTTTATGCATAGTAAGTAATTGTGAAGATCACAGCCTGCATCAGGCCCATCTTAATCTTGAGACTGATATCGTTCTTCAGTACTCTTGAGAGGTCCCTGACAGCCGACTTTCCCAATGCAGTTAATTTTTTTTATTTCCTGGCTGCTAGTACCAAGAGTGTTGATTGTGAAGCCAAGCAAACTGAAGCTGTTAACAATCTCAGTCTCTTCACTGTCCATCATGATACTGCTAATTGGCCCTGTGGTGAGAATCTTTGTTTTCTTGATGTTGCGCTTAAATCCATATTGAAGGCTGTAGTCTTTGACCCTCTACAGCAAGTACTTCAGTACTCCTCTATTTCAGCAAGCAGAGTGTGTCATCTGCATAATGTAGGTTATTGATGAGACTTCCTCCAATCCTGATACCACATTCTTCCACATTTAGGTTAAAAAGGTATGGAGATAGGACACATCCATGGTATACACATTTCCTGATTTTAAACCATGCAGTGTTTTCTTGCTCTGTTCTAACAACTGCCTCTTGGTCCAAAGATATGTTTTGCATAAGCACAATCAGGTGTTCTAACTTAGGGTTATTTTTATCCTTAGTATCAGCTAAGGAAAAATAACAATGTGTAAGTAACATTTTATTTTCACTCAGAAAAAAATAAATTGGCATTGTGTTAAAATTGGCAGTGAGATTTTTGCAGAAGGATAGAATTGATAAATTGACATAAGAAAGTGACTTTCTAATCTTTCTTCTCTTAAAATCACATAATGCTTTCACAACACCTTTCACATATAATATTAAATTTATTTCCCACCACAACAAGATAAAGGTAAACAATCCAATTGAAAAATGGGAACAGGATATGAACACACATTTCACCAAAGAAGACATTCAGATCGCCAACAAGCACATGAAGAAATGTTCAAAATCCCTAGCTCTAAAAGAGATGCAAATCAAAACAACTATGAGATATCATTTCACCCCAGTCAAAATAGCAAAATTTAACAGAACAGCAAGCAACAAATGCTGGCGAGGTTGTGGAGAAACTGGAA